AAAAAAGCTGGAACCAAACTGGCTGGTTATTTACCAAAAGGGAAGTTTTACTTGCCTAAAGAAAATAGACTCAATAAGATGATTTAAGGTTCTTTCCATACTAAGAGCTATCTATAATTATATGACATTTAAAAGAATTTCTTTTTCTTTTTTTAAGTTTTATTTTTATTTATTTTGAGAGAAAGAGAGCAAGTGGGGGAGGGGCAGAAAGGGAGGGAGACAGAATCCCAAGCAGGCTCCACACTATCAGTGCAGAGCCCGATGCAGAACTTGAACCTATGAACTGTGAGATCATGAGGTCAAGAGACGGATGCTTAACCAACTGAGCCACCCAAGCGCCCCTATTATTATATAACATTTAAACCAATATATAACAATAGACACAAAAACAAACCTATAAAATAATAAATTTTTTTCTTTACTTACGGAGGCTAAACTCTGTGCAGAACCTGAATATTTACTGAAAAGTCCTCCATTAGCATAGTTACAAGACTGAGATCCTTTGTCTTTGGCAGAACTTAAAGATAATGTCAAATTTTGTCTACTACTGGAACAACTTGAACCTATCAAACAAATATATCAATAATATTAGAAGTATCAGTAACTCCAATGACAAATTTCCGATAAAATTTCCAAGTTTACATTATATTCCTTCAGAAAGCTTCTAATTTTAAAACTCATTTCCCTCAACTGTGTAAAAAGTGTACAGCATTATTAAAATCTACCTCTCTTTACAATTGTTTTTAACACTGCTAAAATATGCTTCCTAAATGAAGAATAAACTATTCATCTAATTAGTGTATTTGATATGATATTTGAATGACCTATTATAATCAGTTTAAAATACTGGCAACTATGAATCTTCAAGTTATAAATTAACAACATATAAGCACTTCCTTTCCTGAATTACATCTGTACCATTTCCATATTGCATTACATTGTAATTAAGTTTTTTCTTTTTCTGTATCCCCTAACCATCTATCTATCCATCTATGGCTGACATTGTATCTCAGTCTATCTTAATGCAGCAGTTAAGACACTACTCAATTCAATTCCTGGGACGTGTATGACCCTAAGCAGGTCACTTAAGTTTTCCTTATCTCGATTCTCTTTATGTCTAAAATGGAAACAATAACACAGGATATAGTCCTAATTCATAGAATTGTTATAAAAGTTAAACAATGTAGTGAATATACAGCATTTAACACTAGGCCTGAGATCTAATAAGATCTCATTAAGTGAGAGCCATCATTACTGTAATGTTCACTGTACTCGGCACAAAATAGTCATTCATTAATCATTTGCTGGACAAATTAATCACAAAAGCATATGATACTCTAAATAATAAATTAAAAAAAATTATAAGTTTTAAAAATAAGAAATTCACCATGCTCAAGAAGTTATTGGGTTTTTAAAAATTTTTTTAATGTTTTATTTTCAAGAGAGAGAGAGAGACAGAATTTGAGCAGGTGAGGGGCAGAGAGAGAGGACACAGAATCTGAAGGAGGCTCCAGGCTGTGAGCTGTCAGCACAGAGTCCAATGCGGGGCTCAAACTCACAAACCGTGATATCATGATGTGAGCCGAAGTCAGACGCTTAACCAACTGAGCCATCCAGGTGCCCCAAGAAGTTATCGTCATTGATACAACATGGCAATATGTACCATATCTCTAACAAAAACTACAGGTCTTTTAAAAGCCAGCAATTTTACTTCTATTTATACACTAAGAAAATAATCAGACAAGTATATTCAAAGCAAGAAAAACATTCTAAAGGGACTAACAGGGAATTGGTTAAATAAATTAGTGGATATGTTTACAAATTTAACACTAAGTACATATTAAAACGATAGAAATATATTTATTGACCTAGAAAAACAATTTTATATATTGTTAAATATTTTAAAAGCAGGCTACAAAAGGTGTAATCATAATTTTATTTAAAATACATACATCATCTACTTGTACATAATATAAAATTGTGTATCTCAATAGACTTAAATGCAAATAGAAATGGATAGATATATGCCAAAGTACTATAAGTCATTACTTCTGGGTAGCAGAATATCAAGTGATTTTAATTTTTTGTTTACTTCTCTGTATGTTCTATTCTTTCTAAAATTAATCTGTATTATCTGGGAGTTAAATATTAAGGAAAGACATTTTGGAGGCTACAGCACAGAAATCACTGCACTCCAGTTATGATTAATATATAAATCTTTCTATGATTTAAATATAAACTTTCTTTGTAGACTCAGTTCAGCTATCTCCACATACCTTTGTCTGATGCTGCTCTTTTAGTGTATTCAAGTATGAGGTGCTCTGGTTCCCATGGTAATATTTTTCCTTTCTTCTTTCCACGTCTTCTTTTAAAGTGACGGGCCAGAAAAATTACAGATACGGCACTCACTGCAGTTACCACAAACAGCTTTTTTGCTACTGGTGAAAATCTTATCTGGAAAAGATGTAGTTAGATTGAAAAAAAACTTCTTATATTTGTTCACTTTAAATAAAGATGTAAGAGGCAAACTTATTCTTAAGATAACCTAGTTCTAACTACTATGAGAAGAATATTATTTCACTCTTTGAATGACAGCTCAAATGAAAGCTGTCACTCTTTGAATGACATTTTGTTTAAAAACAAACAAAACGTACTAATATATTAATTTCTGAAAGTCTTAGGTAAATAAACAGTATTACCACAAACATCAAAAGGAGCACAAAATAATTCAACCCCATTAAAACCTGTTGAACAACTAATGATTAATTCATGCAACTAACTGAATCATAGCAAGATTTTAAATTACAGGAATGATTAATTCAGAGATTTATTTATGTATTTATTTTTAACATTTATTTATTTTTGAGAGAGAGAGAAACAGAGCATGAGTAGAGGAGGGGCAGAGAGAGAGAGAGAAATGGAGACACAGAATCCAAAGCAGGCTCCAGGCTCTGAGCTGTCAGCACAGAGCCCTATGCAGGGCTTGAAACCATGAACTGTGAGATCATGACCTGAGCTGACGCTGGTTGCTTAACCGACTGAGCCACCCAGGCACCCCAGTTCCGAGTTTTAAAACATACCAATTTTTTTTAACTATCTGGAAATTTGAGCAAACATGAATTAACTTAATTTCTAAATAGAATCTGAATAAGCCCTTTTATGCATGAATTATTCAACAAATATTTACTCAGCATTTTACAAAGTACCACACTGTGCTATGAAAATTAGAATTAAAATCTTATTGTAATTCTATTCAACAAGCAACTATCAAATGCCTTTCATTGATTAGGAAGCACTAGGCATAGAGGACACAGATCTTGCCTCCTTCAAGCAGTACGTTATAGTAGAGACAAATATATTCACAAGTAATTACAATATAGTGTGATAAATACAGTAACATAAGTATACACTAAGTATTCACATCACCTTCACATAAGAGGTAACTAACTTTGTCTTGGGGGACAGACACAATCACCTAAAATACAGGAGAACTATAAAATAAAGCCATAATCTTGGGGTGTAGAGGGCTGGAAAGAGTGTCACTTTCAATGAACAACAAAAACAAGCCAGACAAATGGCAAGTTCTCAATTTTTCTTGAAACCATCACAATGCTGAGGACAGAGGGCAATCACTTGGCCCCAAAATTAAGGAGACACAGGTATCTGCAGGGAGAGATAGGGCATAAGCACTGGCATGCAGAGATAAAACACAGCAGGACATCAGTAAGAAGAGTTCAGCTAGTATGGCTGGTAAATTGGTGGAGACAGTAGCATTGGTGAGAAAGGGTAAAGCACCCCCAGGAGCACGGGGGATGTTGTAAATATGGGCAAAATCCATACTTTTTGCAGGTTTTATCTTCACGAATCCCACCAGGCACTACTCACAGAAAAGACTGCAAGACTCCTAAGTCTCCCCAATGGTGCAGAACCGAGGGAGGGAAACAGGAGTTTCTGTGGAGGGGCATGAACTGCATCAATACCCTTCTCTATTCCGTCAAAAGAACAAAAGACATAAACTGTAGGATGCAGCTTTAACTTTCAAAGGAAATACATACCATTAAACACTTATATTAAAGAAGGTGTAAAATCCATAATCTGAGTTTTTACTTTAAGAAACTAGAAAACAGATGAACAAATCCAATCCAAAGCAAGTAGAAGACAGGAAGTAATAAAGACTAAACAGAAATCAATGAAATAGAAAACTAAATCAAAAGCTTATTAAAAAGAAATCAATAGATTCACTCCTGGCTTTTGGCAAAAAAAAATAAAAATAAAAATTCAGTAAAACTGACAAACCTGAAGCCAGTCTGACCAAAACAAAAAAGAAAGAGAAAGAAAGAGAGAAAAGATGAAAAGACACATATTACTAAAATCAGAAATGAGAGAGGCATTGTCACTAAAGACCTCACAGATATGAAAAGTATTACTATGAACAACTCTATGCCCATAAATTCACTCTGGAAGAAATAGATAGAATGAATAGTTACATATGTACTAAAGAAATTGAATTTGTAGTTAAATAAAACCTTTTAACAAAATTATTAGGGCAAATTCTACCAAATATTTAAAAAAGAAATATTAATTCCATTCAATGAGGGACTACTTCCCAATCATATGTGAAGCTAGCATTACTATTAATATCAAAACCAAAGACGTTACAAAAAATTATAGACAAATATCTATAATGTAGATAGATTTTTTTAAAAGTCCTTCACAAAATAGTAACACATTGAATCCAGCAACATATACAGGAGATACTACAGGAAATAAATACTACAGGAGAGTCTGGGTGGCTCAGTCAGTTAAGCATCTGACTCTTGGTTTCCACTCAGGTCATGATCTCAAGGTTTGTGGGATCAATACTACAGGAGAGTTTGGGTGGCTCAGTCAGTTAAACGTCTGACTCTTGGTTTCCACTCAGGTCATGATCTCAAGGTTTGTGAGATCATGCCCCGCATCAGGCTCCATGCTGACAGCACTGCTTGGAATTCTCTTTCTCTGCCCCTCCTTCCCCTCTGAAAATAAATAAACAAACTTTAAACAAAAAATGAACACTATATATGACCAAGGAGTGTATATCCTAGGAATGCAAATCTGGTTCAACATTCAAAAATCAATGTAATTTACCATAATAACAAACCAAGAAGAAAAGCCATAATATAATTTCAATAGATTCAAAAAGAACATTTGAGGGGCCCCTGGCTCAGTCAGTTAAGCATCTGACTTTTGGTTTTGGCTTAGGTCATGATCTCAGGAGCACACTGGAGCACAGAACCTGCTTGGGATTCTCTTTCCCTCTCCCTCTCCCCCGCTTACTCTGTCTCTCTCAAAATAAATAAACTTAAAAATTAAAAAAAAATTTAAAAAAAGAACATTTGAAAATATTCACTATCCACTCATGATTTCTTAAAAACTCTCAGCAAGTTTTATACAAATGCATGAATATTCTAAAAATCCCTTTCAATGAAAGCAAGTAGATTTCCTTTCCACACTGAATAATTATCTACTCAGAAGGTGTTGCTTTATTGAATGAGGGTGTCACACCTGTTCCAATGTCCACTTGTTAAGAACCTGTTAGACTTGGCTTTGATTTCTGATTGAAGAAGTAAGTGAGCCCCCCT